GAGTTGGGGGGAATAGACCTAGCATTCTTAACCCTCTATTCCAAAACCGGGGTTGGGGGGGGGGAGGGCTGCGTCAAAAATCCAGGCGTGCCACCTTCAGGACCAGGCATCTGGTGCTGCTTCCATCAGCCACAACGGATTGGTTGGGGTGAGTGGCAGAAATCTAGGAGAGATGGTAAAGAGAGGAGATGAGGGGACAGCACCCCATGGGACATGATGGGAAACAGCTGAGCAAAGATAAACTTCAGTTTCAGGGCACTGTTAACTTCTGGAACTCCCCACCACTAGATGCTGGAGGCTAGAGCCAGAGTGGGAGAAGTGGTGGGGCACCAGGAGGAGGGGGAGAGGAGAAGGAGGCAGGAATATAGGGGGATAAGGGCTTGCAGCACCCTGCCCTCCAGAAGGAGAGAATAGCTGCAGTTGAGTCAAAGTAATGCACATCGAGAAAAATAACCCCAACTATACGTACAGTATGATGGGGGCTAATTTGGCTACGTCAAATCAGGAAAGAGATCTTGGAGTTATCGCGGACAGTTCTCTGAAATCTTCCACACGGTGTGCAGCGGCGGTTAAAAAGGCAAATAGGATGCTAGGAATTGTTAAGAAAGGGATAGAAAATAAAACCCAGAATATTTTACTGCCCCTGTATAAAACTATGGTACGCCCACATCTTGAACACTGTGTACAGATGTGGTCTCCTCACCTCAAAAAAGATATTTTGGCCTTGGAAAGGGTTCAGAAAAGGGCAACTAAAATGATTAGGGGCTTGGAACGGGTCCTATATGAGGAGAGGTTAAAGCGACTGGGACTTTTCAGTTTAGAAAAGAGGAGACTGAGGGGGGTTATGATAGAGGTATATAAAATCATGAATGGTGTGGAGAGGGCGGATAAAGAAAAGTTATTTATTAGTTCCCTAAATAGAAGAACTAGAGGACACCAAATGAAATTAATGGGTAGCAGGTTTAAAACTAATAAAAGAAAGTTCTTCTTCACACAGCGTGTAGTCAACCTGTGGAACTCCTTGCCAGAGGAGGCTGTGAAGGCTAAGACTATAACAGAGTTTAAAGAGAAGCTAGATAATTTCATGGAGGTTAGGTCCATAAAAGGCTATTAGCCAGGGGATAAAATGGTGCCCTTGGCCTCTGTTTGTCAGAGGCTGGAGAGGGATGGCAGGAGACAAATCGCTTGATCATTGTCTTCGGTCCATCCTCTCTGGGGCACCTGGTGCTGGCCACTGTCGGCAGACAGGATACTGGGCTAGATGGACCTTTGGTCTGACCCAGTACGGCCGTTCTTATGTTCTTATGACAAGATTAGTGTCCTGTTCCATGTTGACATCAGTATGATGTCATCACTTTGAGAAGCCGTTTCATAGTGGTCATTAGCACAAAGTGACTGAATGGCCACTTTTGTTTCCTAGATAGTCATAAGCCAGAATGTTTGAAAGCCCGGCTTCTCTTCACGGGGCGTTTGCACTTGAGAAACTTGGAGACTCATATGTTTGCCCCAATTGAAAAAACAAGTGACCACCACAAGCAAAGGGACCAGTTCTGGATTCTTTGGGATCGATTCAGATTGTGGCTCATCTCTCTCCGCAAGCTTAAATAATTAATATTCACTGTCCTCACATAGGACACCTGTGCAGATTAAGTAATCAATGCCACACGTTGGGGAGTCCTGAGACACCTTAGAGACGAACATTTATTTGGTCATCAGCTTTCGTGGGCTGGAACCCAGATGCCCAAATACATGTTAGTCTGTAAGGTGCCACAAGGCCTCGTTTTTGCTGAAACAGACTCACGTGGCTCCCCCTCTGAAACATCCACACGTGGTTAGTCTAAGATGCATCACTCAATGAAGCAGGTACCCCTATGTCCAGTGGGGATTTTTATTTTGAAAGTCATTTTTAGGGGACACTTCCGTAGGTGCATAGCGCTTTTAAGAAGGTAGGCGGGGGCAGTTCACACAGGACGGGGAAGGGTTCAGTACCAACAAAACAGTGTTGTACAGCAGCGTAGAAGGCAGGTGCTCAGGGAACACAGTTAATTTAACAAGGTCGGATGGTGCAAGAGGCACAGACAAAACTCAGACCTAAGGAAAAGTATGATGCCGCCCTCTTAAATCCTTAGTCACAAGGGGTTTGAGCTCTGCCTTAACTCTTCATTTCTTTTAGTGGTTAGTACAATAAGGCTATGTCTACACTGGCGGCTTTCTCCGAGTCCCAGCCTTGCCTACCCGGGTGCGCCCAGCTCCGCTCCGCTCCCCTCCCCTCCCCTCCAGTCCTCGCCGCCCACCGGCCCAGTAAAATTGATCCACAGCGCCTCCACGTGGCGGGTTTTGCGAACGGGAACGGGGGCGGGTTGGTGGTAAAGCCCTGGCGGCAAAGGAAGGAGCCAGGACGCCTGGGTTCTTTCCCGCCGCGGGGGGAGCTGGCTGGGTCAGAGTACGGGGCTGTGAGCCCCGTCTCCTGAGTTTTTCCCTTGGATGTTTCCTGCACCATGTTCTGCGGTGTTTCCCAGAAATAAAGCCACTTGAATGTGAAGCAAAATCCCAAGTTTTTGTTTTTATTTGTTTCAAGTACAAATCAGAGACGTGGAGGACCCTCATGCTTTGTGGGGTGAGGGGGTCCCCTTGTCCCTACGTTCCCGAAGTGAGTTGGGGGGAATAGACCTAGCATTCTTAGCCCTCTATTCCAAAACCAGGGTTCTGGGGGGGGG